CTGAGCAGAATCCTGCATAGGAATAGGATCTTACGCAGGATCACATTCTTATGTACAGTGTAAGATCCTAAGTAGGAATAGGATCCTAAACAGAGTGCTACAGGAATTCCTGACAAGATCCGGTAGAATCTTGAATAGGATCTYGTAGGATYCTAGCCAGGATTTGCACCAGGGATAGTATTAGGTTGACAACAACATGGATACATACAAAATRTCAGCCAGGAGTCCCTGCATTTGGTCACTTCTTCTATATGTTCTTAGTTGACTGTTATCGAAACTAGAACCATTGGGTGATGATGGTGCACCAATAGGGGGGAGCCTTGGAAGACGGCTTGCAGAGTCTGTAAGCCTTGTTCTTTCTCTGCTAAGTGACATCTAAATGGCAAAAATGTTATCCCTTTAAAATCTATAATGCATTATTCACAACAACTTAGGGTATAAATCAGTTAAGCTACTTATAGCATACAACATGACTCTGATTCAAATGCCATTCCAAATGTAATGCACTAGAATTAGCCCTTTTTGCAGTTAACAATAAAGTGATAGGCAAAGTTGGCCAACATGTTTGCTGCAGCCTTCAAATCAACAAGAGAACCAAGCTATGTCAATCATCACTTTTATTTAAATTAATGTAAMAATCAAAAATAACCTTTAATTTGTAAATTAATTTTGTAAACATTTTAGGTCAAATGGGACTATTTTCTGGTTTTTGCCCAATTTGCAAAAAGGGCTACTGCATAATATGAAGCTTTTCTTCATGCTTTCAACTCTATTTGAAAACACATTTAAATATAGTCAGACTGATTTACAATTTTTGTTGATCAAAATACATTTGGTGCAGTATTGATTCATGTGTTAGATCCAAACTGATATAGTGTCAAAAGCACAAGAAAGATCCAATAAAATTACTCTGAGTACACTGATATTGTCAAAAAAAGATTTGTACATTAAGACTATGTTCACACGGGGCTGGTCAAGTTTGAGGACACCTCTGTTTTAGGACAGTTTCCACTTTTAACAAGGAACCGTCCACATTTTGGTACAGATTGAAACAGTGTTCACACGGATCTGTTCATGCTACGAAGTGAACAGTCCTCAAAGTGGATCGGCTTTTTAGCGGGCACCAAACCTGACCACTTTGGCCGCGTTCACACGGAGCTGTTTCCATTCGGAACTGTTCCAGTTTAGGCGTGCGTTCACATTGGAACTGACCTCATCTGACAAAGTGGTCAGATTTCTGGCAAAGTAGTCAGGTTTGGGGCCGGCTAAAAAGCCGATTCACTTTGAGGTCAGGTCTGACTTCGAAGCATGAACGGATCCGTGTGAATACTGTTTCAATCCATACGGAAATGTGGATGGTTCCATGTGAACAGTGGGAACTGTCCTAATACAGAGACGTCCTCAAACTTGACTGGCCCTCTGAGAGCATAGTCTTTTCCAGCCTCAGATGAGGCCAGTTCCAGAGTTCCAGTGTGAACGCGTGCCTAAATTGAAACGGTTCCGAACAGAAACGGTCCTGTGTGGACGGGGCCCAAATTTGGTATGATGATACCTATGTCTGAATCAGCACTGCAATTTACTATAGATAATGGAGAATTTCCATGTTGTAATGGACGCTTATGGCTTTCGCTCATCTTGATTTTGCAGTGTAGCACAGTTGGTTTTGTTCTGTAATTGTTTGCCACAGTCGCTGAACTTAACTGATTCCTACATGTATGTTGAGCTATTTGTATACAAAATTTAAACTATTTGGTTTGTCATGACGTTTGAAATAGCCAATCTTTTATCAGACAATGTCTATACGTGACGTCGACTCTGTTTGGAGTGACATATTAAAATAAGTAAGGTTTAATACTGGTTCGGTGCAATAATAGCACCCCAAAACTGTTTTCAATATAAGTGAGAYGTCTTGTTTAGTAATCAAGTGTGATCCCGCGGAAGAAAAAACTTTTCTTAGCAATAATATAACTTAACTTAGCTAAGCTTACACAGCTTAAGTTGCATAACTTGTGTATGCCAAAACAAAACGACATTTGGCCTCAATGTGATGTAGGTTATGTTATTACAAAAGTTGTATAGCAGTGTTAGCATATAAGCCTAACTCGAGCCATGGATGATCATAAAGTTGAGTTTTATGATCCGTGATTTTGAACAACACAACTTGACAGACTATTCTCAAATAACTTGCCTTGATTCTCCCAAATCAACTCCTTTACGTGAAGATTTGTTGTCAAGACAAAAGTCTAGTTCCTGTCGATATTATCATTCTCAAAGTTTTGATATTTCAAGTCATTTTGCTTGTTTTGTATGGGTTTATTTCCAAAACTGTTACCAAAATAATCCAATATGGCGGTATTTTGGTTGCTATAGTGACCTGCAATAACCTAAGCGCGCAAAGCATGTTGGCCTTTGGTTTTCTTGGACAGCGGATGCACGCACTAGTAACATGGCTGCCAACAGAGGTCCTGTGCAACCTCTGGAGGTTCGTAAAGAAACTGCTCCTTTCTTTTCTGCTCCTAGGAAAAAAACTAATTTTGTCAAATTCAAATTTAGCTGAGTGATGAAGAGCGYGAAGTATTACGAGAATGCCGTGTGAATAGCGTATACTTTAGAGGTAAGAGTTTTCAGTAAGCTTAAGTTATAAAAATATTTCTTATTTTCAAATCGTCATTGAAACTTGGTGTACCACAAAGAATACAGCCTACTAAATTGAGTTATAATAAAAAACATTGAAGAAAAATTAAAAAAAAATCCAATTAAAATGCTAGATGCAAGATTAAAATCTGCACAAGAAAGTGTGAAAGAAATTAGGAAGAAAATGAATGACCTAAAATCAAATTTAAGTACCAAGTTTGAGGATAATCTATTAAAAAGTCAAAAGGATGCAACACTGGTGAAGTTCATTATCATGTCATTATATAGTTTTCTTTATAACATGTTTTGAATTTGAGAATTTTATTCTCAAATATTCAATTACTGATTATTGTCAAACTTGGTAAATTTAATTACTCTCAGGCTGTTTTATTGTTTTATTTACTGTGGTATTGATTTTGCTATTCTCAATTTTGAGTTATGTGTGAAATGGCCTATTAAAAGACATAAGCTCTACAAGAACCTCAGTAAAAATTTTGGCTTCATCACAACATATAAATTACTATGGAACCATTGAAAAACAGCCAGCATAACCTGAGTATCAGGTCTTTGAGGGAGCCTGGGGAGAGGAGGGGGAAAAGGAAAGCCTCTCCCTTTTTCCTTCTCCTTCCATTTTTTCTCCCAAGAGCCTAATACTCAGGTTACAGCCAGCACCAATCACAACACCCCAAAACAAGCCACAACAAACCATTATAAAAGATGCACAGGGGAAGTCAMATCTCACTTCGATTCTAAAGGGGACCTTAAAATGGGATCTTAAATTCATGAATAAATTTAAGAAATATAAAACGGCACGCATGTCTCTGTCCTCTGATATAAACACGGTCGTCAGCCAATCAGAGCGYGCGTTATATATCAAAAATTTTATAAAAATAAATAACTTTATGTCTCACTGATCTATACTTGGTGGCCTATTTCTTATTATCTAAATTTATAGAGGATGGTTATGTATGCAGCAGTTGTCATATTTTTAATTTGGGCTACCTGTGTTTTAATGTGTATTAAGTAATGCCCGAGTAAGAACTAGGGAAGCAAAGGGCATAGGAATGCAAGAAGGTGCTAATTGTGCATTGTATAATCCATCCATCCCATTGGTTAAAACATGAAAATCTGCTATAATTTCCCAAGTTAGCGAATTTTCTAATATTATATTTAATGTCATTTTTTGCTTTCATGAAAGCTTTCTTTAGCTTCAATATTAAGGCAATTCTATGTGGGGAACATTGCAAATTAGAAGCATCTTTTAGCTATTGTTTTGAGTGCTTATGATTGGATAAGAGCTTTTAATACAAAAGAAACTTTCTTTCAAAATAGAGTTTATCCACATTTTATTTCAAAAATGTGTTACCHACA